CACACACACACACACACACACACACACACACACACACACACACACACCGCTGCCACCATGGCTCAGAGAACACTGAGGAAGAAGAGGGAGAAGGAACCTAAGCACCAGAGGATGGAGAGGAGTGTTGTGAAATGCTGTCTTCTGCATGGGACAGCTGCCCTCATGAACTCGCGGCAGCTACAGTTACCTGCAGAGGTCAGGGCAACAAGAGCAGTCCCAGCAGGACACTAATTGCACTCAGAGGGTTATAAAAACTAACTAGTGAAAGGATGGAGAGGCATGAAGGAGGGGTTGTCAGGGAGTGTTCAGGTAGAGGGGAAGATGAGAGTGGCAAGTGGCTGGCAGACATCACCAAGATGTACTGTATACCTGTGAAAACTGTCAGCGAGTAAATAAAAAGAAAATAGGCTAAAAAGAAAGCTAAAAATTTTAAATTACAAAACAACCACAAAAAAATAGAAAGGCAGGAGATGCTGTCAAATGGCTCGTTCTACCTCCCCACATCTAAATTGTTTTTAAAAAATATGATTTTGGGGGGCCATAGAACTAAGTTCCTTATGCTTGCAGAGAAAAGACTGCCTTAACTATCATCCAGCCGCCTTGAGTTTTAGTTTGTAAATGGACAACACTAAATATCAGTAACTCACAATTTTATCTAGAACCGAGAGGCTTTACTTAGAACACTGCACACAGAGTATCTGTCAAAGTAAAAGCAATTTTTATTGGATTCTACATATTTTCAAAACTCAGAACTTATTAGAGAGTCTGAAGGAAAGTTAACTCAACACTGCTAATGTTTATACTGAAAAAGATTTAACCAAAACTGTCATTCAGGACTAAGAGATGGTACAATGTTAAGGGCACTGGCTATTCTTCCAGAGGACCCTGGTTTGCCTCTAGCAACTATATGATGGCTCACAACTGTCTGTGAGAGGACATGAAGGTAGGAGGGGATGTGTTGTCGGGGGTATGCAGGTAGAGTGGGAAATGAGAGTGGCAAGTTGATGATGGATATAATCAAGATACACTGTATACATAAAAACTGCCAGAGACTCTACCCTGTACTGTATCAAAGCCAATGCTGAGAATTATGGTCAACTTTTCACAGAGTGCAGGGAATCTTATGAAAGAAGTAGGAAATAGTAAGACCTGGAGAGGACAGGAGCTCCACAAGGAGAGCAACAGAACCAAAAAAATCTGGGCACAGGGATTTTTTCTGAGACTGATACTCCAACCAAGGACCACTCATGGAGATAACCTAGAACCCCTGCACAGATGTAGCCCATGGCAGTTCAGTGTCCAAGTGGGTACCACAGTAATGGAACAGGGACTATCTCTGACATGAACTGATTGGCCTGCTCTTTGATTACCTCCCCCTGCGGGGGGAACAGCCTTACCAGACCACAGAGGAAGACAATGCAGCCACTCCTGATGAGACCTGATAGGCTAGGGTCAGAGGAAAGGGAAGGAGGACCTTCCCTATCAGTGGACTTGGGGAGGGGCATTTGTGGGGTTAGGGGAGGGAGGGAGGGATTGGGATGGGAGGAGGGAGAGAGCTACAGGGGGGATACAAAGTGAATAAAGTGTAATTAATAAAAAAAACAACTGCCAAAGAATAAATAAAAATATATGCTAAAAAGACTGAAACAAAGATTTTAAGTTACAAAAACAACAACAAAGAAAAAAGAAATTACAAAGACAAGAACTGCTGCCTTCTCCTAGAACATACCATGTGTACACTGCACATAGATGATGCACAGACATACGTGCAGGCAAAATCCCCATACACACAAAAATGCAAATAAATCTTTAAAAAACTATAGCTCATAAACATCAACCAATTGTCTACAAAGTAATGCTCAAAATTTTCAAATTATTTCTCAAGTGTGTCTTGGGATACTTCCAAAGAGAAAATCCAAATGACTCAATCACGTCCAATACTCATGCTTTCTTCCTATGTTTCTCTAGTCCCTTCTATTCCTGTGAAGAGTCTTCAAATTATTTCAAATTATCTCCCTAGTCACGCAAAGACAGAATACAATTCTTTCACCCTGTTACTAAATTAAAATAACAACAGAAGTCTAAAATTAAGGAAATACAAAGAGTCAGAGGAAGAAAGGACAGTTTTAGATCAGACAGGAAACTTTAGCTCCAATTACAGCAAACTCATCAAGCCTGAGTAATTATCTCTGCAGCCCACACTGGTCTCTGGGCCAATGCCTTCCAAGCACAGTTTAATTGATGACATGGAGTTTTAGCTCCTGGCTCAGTAGAACCATTTCCCAGATGAAAAGAGACTGAATACGATTAGCATTGGCTCAGTCTTCCTTTATTTCATATGTTTTATTTTGAAGAGGAGTCTTGGGGGCGAAAGCATGGTTTTCTGTCACAGATTAACTGAATGAGTGAGTGTTTGCAGCACTGGAGCTTGAACCCAGGGTCTTGTATGTATAGCAACTGCTTTACCACCACTGAGCTCTAGCCTAGATCAAAAGCATGGTGTTTTATTAAACAACACTAAAATTAAAGGAAGGAAACTTCCTGACCATGGTTAATAAAAAAATGGTCTTCTGAGGGCTGGAGAGATGGTTCGGTTGTTAACAGTTCTGGCTGCTCTTCCAAAGGACCTGGGTTTAATCCCTGCACCCAGTTATAAGCATCTGTAACTATAGTCCCAGGGGATCTGATGCCCTCCTCTGGTCTCTAAGGGCACCAGGCATGCAGGCAGCATACAGATATACATTCAGGCAAATCACTCACAAACATAATAAATAAATAAAAATTTAAAGAAATTTAAATTTAAATTTTTAGTCACTCTAACTGAAAAAAAAAAAATCTGGGCACGGTGACACACACCTTTAATTTCAGCACTTGGGAGGCAGAGGCAGGTGGATCTCTGTGAGGCCAGCCTGGACTACAGAGTGAGTTCCAGGACAGCCAAGGCTACACACAGAAACCCTATCTTGAAACAAACAAACAGAAACATAAAAAAAAAAAAAAAAAAAAAAGGAGGAGGGAAAAAACTGTTTAGAGCGTCTTAGAGAAGTACAGCATAGCAGACAACTTGTTTGAGCCTAATGAAACTCACTTGAGCATTCCGACCTCAAGAGCTGAAAGATAGTAAACCTATAAGGAGCCAGCAAATTCAACTTTGTTACAGAACCAACAGGAAACAAAGTGATCTAACCTCTTGCTGATGTGCTGCCCCACCCAGCAGCTTATTCATCCTCTGACATCTATGGTGTATCAGGCACTAAGTGAGATGTTCTGGACACAACAGAGGGAGGGAGAGAGGGAAGAAAAGCAGATGCATGCACACTCACACAAACCAGCGGCCTTCATCTTTTCTCTGCCAACCATCTTTTTTTTAAATTTATTTACCTTTATTTTATGTGCATCAGTGTTTTGCATGTGTGTATGTCTATCTGAGAGCATCAGTTGCAGACAGCCATGAACTGCCATGTAGGTGCTAGGACCCGAACCTGGGTCCTCTGGAATTAAGTACCTCCAACCACTGAGCCAGCTCTCCAGCCCTTCTGCCAACCATCTTAATGCAACGGTTTTCCAAGTGATTCAGCCCACTAGATGGAGGGAATGAGTTCTACATACCTGGTCATGGATGAGCCCATGATACAGAATGTTCTGCATGTCTCTGCAAAGCCGCTCCAGGCCACCATACTTGGACCAGACATTGGGGCAGTTGGCTGACACCAAACCTTCCACAGTAGTCTTCAAATTACCCAGCAACTGCCAATGTTCTCTCCTGAAATCATACCAATGGTTAGTTAAGTTTGTAATACCTGATCATACATGCCAAAAATAAAGAATAAAAAAGTCTCCTGCTTACATCCTGACATTCTCTCCCTAATTAATTTTTTACTTCCATAAAAGGCTCCACTCTTGAGAGCATTAGTTATCAAGACTCAAACCCTCACATTTACATGGCATATTATGGCACCCCATTATTCATTTCTGAGCCCGGCAGTGGTGGCACGCACCTTTAATTCCAGCACTCCAGAGCCCAAGGCAGGTGGATCTCCAAGTTCGAGGCCAGCCTGGACTACATAGTGAGTTTTAGGACAGCCAGGGCTACACAGAGAAACCCTGTGTCAAAAAAGGAACAAAACTAAAGACTGATTTCTGGATAATGCTAATGCATAGGCAAATGATGAGAATACCCACTCACAATCAGATTTTTTTTTTTTTTTTTTGAGACAGGGTCTCTTTTTGTAGCCTTCGCTATCTTAGACTCTTGCTTTGCAGACCAGAATGGCCTCAAACTCACACAGATCTGCCTGGCATATGCTAACACGCCTGACCAGAAATTAAAAAAATATATATTTTCATGAACATGAATGTTTTGCCTACATATGTGTCTGTGACCATGTCCATGCCTGGTGATGGTGGAGGCAAGAAGAGGGCATTGGACCCCTTAAGACTGGAATTACAGATGGTTGTGAGCTGCCGTATAGGTGCTGGGAACTTGAACCTACGTGCCCCTGAGGAGTAGAAAGTTCTCTTTACCACTGATCCATCTCTCCAGTTCGAAATACAAAATATTTTATGCTAGAAACCCAACGTAACCCAATGCTGCTTTTTATTCACTATGTTCCCAAGCACTAAGCAGAGTACAGTAAAGGACAGAAGGCACTTCAAACATATACACACAAATATTGTACATAAAAACACAAACTGCTTGTAAGTTCTTATGAGACAGTCTCATGTATCCTAGGCTGCCCTCACTATCCTCACTGTGTAGCTGAGGATAACTTCGAGTGTGTGATCCTCCTGCTACTCCCTCCCAAGTGCTGAGATTCTAGGTGCTGTGCTACCACGCAGGGCTAGGGCTCAAACCCTGGGCTTTCTTGGGCTACACAAGCACTCCAGCTACTGAGCTACAGCCCTAGGCGACCCAGGATCTCCCCCCCCCCACCCCCGCCTCCGTGATCCTTAAGTGAACATTAAAACAGAAAGGCTTTAAGTTTGCATCGAAGTCCCTTTGAGACATATCCCCAAACCAGACAGCTGTCACCTTGTTCTCCTAGACTATTCGATATACTTCAAAAGTCAGAAAAATGATGCCCTTGATCATCTTGGTTCCTCTTAATCCCTAGCATTTTCTCACCACAGCTTTTAACTGGCAAAAATCAAAACCAAGTACAACTGAATGCAGGATCTGGGTGTACTGAGCAAACTGGACAAGAAGGCATAAGGAGATGATGACACGCTACGCTTGGCCTCCTGGGCCCCCAACTATTCCACTGTACACATTATCTTCTTTCCCATTACTAGACTGTTGCTCTTTCCTCCTTTCATGGTGGCCATAGGACACAGTAAAGGTTTCTTCAGAAAACTTTATCAAAACTATTTTATATCATATAAACACCAGCCAAAGAAGGACTCTTCATTATCGTCCCTTCCATCAATACAAAAGTAAGCTGTTGTGCATTTGCTGAGAAGTTTTAGAAAAGTGGGTGAGTAAAGGCAGACAAGTAAAATCCCCATATAAAATAAGTGACAGGTATAGGGTAGGAACATCATCCATAAAGGGAAGGCCAAGAAGCCTGGGCTTTTGCTTTGAAGATGAAGTTCAAATTCTTGTGAACAAGAATTTGTTTGAACTGGGAGACATTCAGGTTTTCTTTTCCTTATTAAACATCTAAGTTATCAGCTGGGCAATGATAATATGGGTATGCGTTCACACCCATATTCCCAGCACTCAGGGGCTTCAACATAAACTCAAGGATGTGGTCCATAGGCAGCTCAGTCTCAATGTGCATTCCCTAATAAGGGAAATAGGAGCTGTCTCTGACATGGACTTAGAGTTGGCTCTTTGATCACCTCCCCCTGGGGCGGGGGCAGCCTTACCAGGCCACAGAGGAAGACAATGCAGCCAGTCCTGATGAGACCTAACAGGCTAGGGTCAGAGAGCAGGGGAGGAGGATCTCCCCTATCAGTGGACTAGAGGAGGGACATAGGGATAGAAGAAGGAGGGAGGGTGGGACTGGGAGGAGATGAGGGAGGGGGCTACACCTGGGGTACAAAGTAAATAAATTGTTAATAAACAATAAATGGAAAACAAAAAAAACCCCAAAAACCTCAAGGACAGCCTGTACTAAAAAGAGAGTTCCAGCCCAGCCTGAGCAACAGAGTGACACTGTTTTAAAAACAAAAACAAGGGCTGCAGAGATGACCCAGCAGTTAAGAGCACCAGCTGCTTTTCTAGAGGCGCCTGGTTTAACTCCCAGTACCCACATGGCATCTTACAACTGTCTGTAAATCTAATTCCAGATGATCTGACAACCTCACAACAACCAACACACATAAAATAAAATTACAATAGAAATTATTTTAAAAGCAAAAACAAGCCAAGGGTGGTGGCACACCCCTGTAATCCCAGTACCCTATGGGGCAGAGGCAGGAGGATCTCTGTGAGTTTGAGGCCAGCCTGGTCTACCAAGTGAGTCCAGGACAGCTAAGGCTACACAGAGAAACCACATCTCAAAAAACAACAAACAAAAATTGAGTCACCAGACTTTTCTTGTATTTCTATACCATACAGGACTAAGATAATCACTTAAAATTCCAGTTATCTTTGTATTATGAGAAACTGCCATCCCAGAGGCCAACTGACTACCAATTGTTGCTCACTAGCTGCATCACCCAGGCTTCAGCAGAGCTAATCAACTTCGGATCTATTTTGGCTGACGTGGTTTTCACATTCCAACAAACTACAATCAAGCCTCGCAGGCTGGGGAGGCTCAGCAAGTGGCTACATACCCGTGCTCTGATTCACTCTGGGTCAATCCCACAGCAACTCCTTACAGAACTCCAAGGACTACATGGCACTCTCTGCTCCCAACATTCTACAAAGAACACTCGCGTTCTACAACATCTGAGCACTCAGCTCTACCAGCAGCTTCTTCTGGACAAAGCTAAAGAACCTTCCTGTCCCACAAGGAAGTGTCCCTGGGATGCCAAAGCCATAAAGAAAAAAGGCTCTTCTTACGGTATTCCGAGCACTCTATACTTAGCAGGTGCCCATTTGGAAGAATGAGCCTCTAAAATTTGTATTTACATAGTTTAGCATGCCTTTTAGTATTCTCTATCTTAATGATATAAATGATTGTAGAAAGTTGAGATACCAAATTAGTGGGATTACATTAACCCATTCATGCCAGAATCTTAGATTTAAGTAAAGAGACCACCATGAAGAATCAAGTACCTTTTCCCATGAGTGCCTGTGTGCATTCATGTGTCCATGTGTGTTTGTGTGTGTGTGTGTGGTGGGGGTATTTGTACAGGAACTCTCAGAGGCCAGCAAACAAGCTCAGAGTATAATCCTGAAATGCAGTCTCTCTCTTTTGAGATGGATCGGTTATCTGGACCTGCTGCCTAGCAAGCCCCAGAGATCCTTATCCTCCCCCCAGCCACAAGCCCCACTGTCTGGACTAGGATTACAAGTGTGCTCCACGTGCTTAGCATGTTTGCTTGGGTGCTAGGTACTGAACTCAGGCCCTTCAGCTTACTAGGCAAGCAGTTCTCTGACTGAGCTATCTCCCTAACCCCTCCACTATTTTAAAAACATGTTTAACAGGCAAGATGAATTTCTCCTAGCCTGTCTGAAAGTAATTGTTTGGATGGCATCATATCATCTTCACATGTAACCTTTACCTGAACAAAGTCAAAGCCTTTGAAATGTATTTGGCTGTCAGAAGTTCTTGGTAGTCACCTTTGCAAGCATACAGAACATTTTCTCTTGCTTACCTTAAATTAAAAATACATCTTTGGGGCTGGAGAGATGACTCAGTAGTTAAGGCTGTGTCCTGGTTTTGCCCAGGACCTGAGTTTGGCTCCTAATACCCACGAGAGGTGGCTAACAACCACCTGTAACTCCAGCTGCAGGGGATCCGCAGCCTCTGGCCTGCACAGGCACTCACATGCATGTACACACACCCATACAGAGACACACAGACAGAAGACACTTCTAGATAAGAGAAATTCTTTTTAAAGTACACCTTAAGTGTCTCATTCTAAGCCAATGAAGAACAAGGCCATTCAGTCTCAGAACTCTTAAAGCTGGCACAGACGGAAACAAGAGTCATAACCCATCTCTGCCCAAACCTTTTCACCTACTCACAGAAAGCCAGTCTCAGGATGCAATCCTCTACTTTCCTGTGGGAGGGTTTTAACCACAATTCTCCTTTAAAGAGAAATAGAAACTACCTAAGTGACTCAACTATTTGGGGCAAAAAATGTTTTTCTAAATACTGATTGTCTTCGGCTTGCCTAATTATAGTAAGAAGTGGCACTTAGAGTGAGACAGTGGAGCTGGATAGGTGGCTCAGGGGGTGGGAGCATGGGCTGTTCTTCCAGGGGACCCAGGTTTGATTCCCGGCACCCACTCGGCAGTTTACACCTGGCTGTTAACTCCAGTTCCAGGGGCTCTGACACTCCTCTGGCCTCCACATGGACTAGGCACGCAAGTAGGGCATAGACACACAAAGAAGAAACGCCATACACACACAAATGAATTTAAATTAAAAAAGATAAACCAAAGAAGTTATAGATGCTTTTTTAAAAGCAGTATACTGTATATGTGAAATGAAAATATAACCACGGAAAAGAAATTTAATGTATGAGATGATAAAAAGTGAGGATACTGCACCATTGTAAAATGACATTCACTGTAAAAAAATACAGCCAAGTTAACAATCCCGGATGTGTTCTGTGTGTGTGTGTACAGGTACACATGGAGGCCAG